CACTGTTGCCGGGGAGCTGAGCGCTTTTGATTTTTGTCTTGAGTTTGGTTTGAATTTCGTGTACTAAGTTGTTTGCAGATCCAGAGTTATCATGGCTCAAACTTTTTCTGGCGCTGTTGCCGGGGAGCTGAGCGCTTTTGATCTTTGTCTTGAGTTTGGTTTGAATTTCGTGTACTAAGTTGTTTGCAGATCCAGAGTTATCATGGCTGAGTTCGGCCACAACTATCAGCTATATCGACCATGCGTCTTACGGGACCACCTATGCGAGAAATTTTCGCACCATCATGACCCAATCCAACCTCTCATATGTAGTTCTTGCGTTGGTAGTTCTTTTTTTTTAGGGATGCCCTTTGGAAGAAGCTTGGAAGAGAATGTGAGATTCTCGTTGCGAGTAGCCCGTTGGGCCCAATCGTGAACAACTCCGAGCTCGACTAGACTCCGGCCCGCGCCCGTTACGCCTTACGCCGGACCCACATCAGCGGGACCCACATGCATAGAGACGCGGACCGACCAAACCCGCACGCCGCTTGTTCTATAGCTCGGCCGCTCGGCAGGTCAAGCCGCCCGCCCGTAAACCCTATCTTCTCCTGTTCCCCTTCGCCCCCGGCCGGCGACGACGCCGCGCGCGCAGCGAACCCAGCCCCTCCTCCGGTACGCTCCCCTCCCCCCCGCCCCCTCCGTCAACTCCCCACGCCGATTGGCCCGCTCCTCTGCTGAATTCGTCGGCGGTTTGTACTCGGGGGCGTGCTCTGTTCGTCTAGGGTTTGGTGCGGGCGCGCGGATCTGCAGCCGCGCCTCCGCCCCCTCGCGGTTTTGATTTCCTCTGGAGAATCTCGGTGTTCTAGGGTTTGTGGGCGCGGGTGTGGCAGGACGGCGGGGATCTCTCGCGCCTTGAACGCCCCTTCTTGGGGATTGAAATCGTAGGCTGTTTTTGTCGGGAAATCTAGTTTTGTTCGTGCTTTTACCGGCCTGAAGTAGGCCATCAATTTCTCAGTGTGCTTGTTCGCCGTGTGAATTTGTTTGTAGTTGTGTTCGCTGTTTTGTTTGCTGTATCTGAATTCAGATATTCCTGTCAGTCTTCTTTCTAGTAGTAATAACTGTGCTGTGCTCTTCTGGGCGTGATAGGTTGCAGTAAGCAAGGAAGGATGAGTAGGCGCTGGAGCCGGACCATTTACGTTGGGAACCTCCCAGGGGATATCAGGGAGCGGGAGGTGGAGGATCTCTTCTACAAGGTTGGTATTCCCACTTCCATTACTATATGTATATATCGAAGGTGATGAAACAGTGACAGATGTATTTAGTGTATTTTTCCTGGAACATAGGAATATTGTTTAGTTTTGCTGTAATAGTACTTCAGTTAATTCCCGTCTTTTAATTTGAGTGGTATAAGATAGCATTATGGTTGTGCCACTCACTATTAAGAAAATAATGCGCAGTTACTAATTTGATCTGCTGATTGGAGTTTTATACTTGAATTCTGTGTGAAGATCTGATGTTAAAAATATTTCTTGCAGTATGGACGGATAGTTGAAATTGACTTGAAGGTCCCCCCAAGGCCTCCTGGCTTTGCTTTTGTTGAGGTAACTTGTCGAATATGTTTTATATTTGCTTCTTGGTTGATTACTGTTAGATTTGTTGGAGGTCACGAAAGCTACTTTTTGTGTGTAGTTTGAAGATCCCCGTGATGCTGAAGATGCGATTCATGGCCGAGATGGCTACAACTTTGATGGGAATCGGCTTAGGGTAGGTGCAATGTTTTCTTTGTAGTTTGCTCTTCTCAGTTCACATTTCTAATCCTTACTATGCACAGGTTGAACTTGCACATGGCGGGAGGGCCAACTCTTCATCCCTTCCGAACAGCTATGGTGGTGGGGGACGCCGTGGTGGTGTCTCTAGGCATACGGAGTATCGTGGTACGCAAAATATATATCTAAACATAATATTGATTGCTCATATTCTTTGTCTATAAACTGAACTCGTGTGCCTGCCATTTGACAGTTCTGGTTACTGGACTACCTTCTTCTGCATCATGGCAAGATCTAAAGGTCTGTAGAAAGAGTACAATATCATATATTCTGTCAACTTTTCTGTTCTTTTTCGCCTTATCATGTTTTCACTCTTCATTCTCTGAAGCTTCATAAATGTTTTTATCAGGACCATATGAGAAAGGCTGGTGATGTTTGTTTCTCTGAGGTGTACCGTGAGGGTGGTGGTGAGTTAGTTTGGGTCCCTGCTGCAGTTCTCTTCTTCCATCATAGCATTATTAGAGAAATCACTTCACTAACTTTATTTCCTGATCTATATTTAATTGTAGTTCTGCTATTATTATTTTTTTGTAAATGCTGATATACTGATGTCTTTATCCAGATCATGTTACAAAGATTTAAAATGTATTCATTACACTGGATACTCTAGCATTTTAGGCTCATGCTGTGCACTACGCCTTTAATATGCCCAGCATGCACATTGTCGAGCTTAGTACAAAAGATGACTCATTGTTAGAACATTTAATCTAGCCTTTTTGTGTTGTCAATTGCACTGACAATTTTTTCTACACTGTTTCTATTAAATTAATAAGCTGCTGTAACAATGGTTCTTTCTGTAAAGTCATGTATGCTATGTTGCTGCTACTTTTTTTGACCTACATCATTGTTTGCTATAGGTACTATTGGAATTGTTGATTATACAAACTATGATGATATGAAGTATGCTGTAAGTTCTGCTTCTCCTTTTCGGTGTCACTTCTGGTGCCTTGCTAATTTTCATTACATGGAATGCTTATTTTTCGTCACACTTATATAATCTAGTTGAACATATGGTTTTTGAGCTGTCTTTACTTTTTCATAAAGGTGGAGAAATAATTTTCTGGAATTAACCTTTTGCAGATAAGGAAGCTTGATGATACTGAATTTAAAAATGCCTTCTCTCGAGCGCCTATAAGGGTACACCGAGACGTCTATTTGTAGTTCAGTTTTGGGCATTGACTTGTTTTGAAATTAACAAATGGACCACCTTGTTGTTTTCTGAAGGTGAAGGAGTATGCTGGAAAAAGCAGCCGCTCCTATTCACGCAGCCGTAGCAGAAGCCGAAGTGGCAGCTACAGCAGGAGTCCAAGGTCAGTCTTTGATTAATTCTGTTGGTCCTGTATAATGTAACTGACCACTGACCAAATTTGGATATGCTTTCAGTCCAAAGAAAAAACCATCACGCCGTTCAGCGTCAAGATCTCGGTCGAGATCAGTTTCTTCCCATTCAAGGTCACCGTCAAAGGAACGCTCTCCATCAAGGTAACTGAGCTCCTATGGCCTGCGTACCTCCTCCTACCCCAAGAAAAAGAAAAAGAAAGATGGAACAAGTAGACATCACTGCAATTATTTTTATAATCAAATGTTGCTTGATTTGTTGGCACATCTATTACAAAAGAAGTATGTTCTGGTTGAAACTTGAAATAATAGTCTGGAAAATCCTAAATATTGTTTCTCATTGATGCAATCTTTATCAACAAAAGATGCATCAAATCTGACATTCTAAATGTCCATGTTGCCAGGTGGCAATACACCATAACCCTCTTGCATTGGCATATTGGGTTTATGTATGATATTCTGGTTAAACCTGCTGATTTTTCCTAGTGTTAAATGGAAAACTAGTGGCATAATTATTATCTATCTGGTTGCTTGGAAACTTTCACAAGTTTTATCACGCTCTGGTGTCACATGTTTCTTGTCTAACTGAACTGGCTAGTGTCCGGTGTTTCTTAAAGCCTCGAATCATTTCTTCCTTAGATGAGGGATTGTGCGGCGATCTAGGGATTGCATATTAGGAAATTGAGGATGGGGATTTGGTCAGTTTGCACCAGCTCCATTGGTTGACCGAGGTATGGTAATAAACTGGGAATTGAACTGGAAGCTAAAAATCATCTATTGTTTTTCTTTACCTAATGGACTGTAACTGATTACATCAGAGCTTGGGCATAGAGGTTTGGAACTCTGGAAGTAGAGCATTAAGGATTGACGGTTTGGACTATGACGGCACAATGGTATTTGCTCAGATTTGAGTACGCGAGGACTGGCTCCTTCACAGGCTTCAAATTGGAGGGCTGTTCTAGCGTATATGCCGTAACATTGACACAAAACACTTTCAGTACTGCATGTTTTTTGACACAAGGAACTGATTGCTTTTAATTTCTGTGAACCCATTTTACTTGCATTTGGCGATTGGAATGCCGGGGAGGATGGAGGTTCTTGGAAGCAAGCTATTAAAGCCCCATTCTGGATATTGATTTCTCTTGTTTTCTGGAACTTTTTGCAGATCACCAGCTAAATCCCGATCCCCTGTCGCTGCATCTGTAAGTATTCTCAATCGTACTTTCGCAATATCTGTTTATGAAACTTACCTTAGTTGTTTTTGCTCAGCCCGTCGTCAATGGTGAAGCAGTAAGCCCCAAGAGGGATCCAAGCAAGAGCCCATCACGTTCCCGGTCTCCTGATGTAATATAACTCTTGTACTTGTGTTCACTTATTGTCGATTGGGAAGTGTTTGTTGCTCTTATACTAAGTATCCAATTGCATTTTCAGGCCAAATCAGAGTAAAACTGATGCGAGGTTAGGGGCGGTGAGAGGCGGAGCCATGGTCTTCAAATTCTTCATATTTTGTCTTCGCCGACTTCTGCATCCGCTGTTATAGTACTATCTCTGTGTTCGGTTATTCTAGGTTCCTTGATGTTTCTGTAAAAACTTGTTTGGATGGATTCTTGAGATTTATGTACTCTTTTCATTGTCAGCATTTTTACTTGGATTATTATCTATGGTCGTTGACTCGGAAGATATTTGAATACAGTAACATTGCCGTTTGTAATGCTGAAAATACAACCTGGATTTGAGGTATTGGTTCAGTTTTCGCGACACTGTTTACATAGTACTATTTGTTTGACATCACTTGCACGCACACAAAACTACGGATTTTACAAGAGATACAACAGGATCGGCGCCACAATGACGCGATCATTTCTTGGTCTTGGGCTGCTTGACTATCATGACGGAGCAGTGCGCATGGTGGGCGCAGTAGTCGCTCACGCTCCCGAGAAATGCCCTGCAAGAAGCGTCCATGTTCAGATAAAACCCATGGCTATTAGCCAGCAGCATGCGGAACAGATCATCAGTTAATTACCTCTTGATTGCACCGTAGCCATGGCTGCCGACGACGAGCAGATCGGCGTGGTGCTTGTCGACGGCGTCGCAGAGCACGTACCTCGCCTCTCCTTCCATCACCTCTATCAGACCATGCACCTGCGATTTGGCATGAGCAGTACACTTTGAGCAAATGTCTCCGATCGAGCAATGCGGTGAACGGTGGTCGTGGCTGTTACCGAGTTGGCGACGCAGAGGCGTCGCGCCCTGTCAACGACGTCCTCGGCCCTCTTCCGCAGGTCCGCATCCACCACCCTCACCACGTCCCCGGCGGCGGCTGAAAATTCCGAAGCAGAGAGACGGAATCAAGCCATGTTTTCCCCTTAAAAAAGGCTACAAAATGGGTCTATGGCAGGCACCAGGGCTGCCGAAGGTGACGACGGAGGACGCGGGCGGCTTGGCGTGGACGACGACGAGCTCGGCCGCCACGCCGGCCGTCGCCGCGTGCCGCACGGCCCACTCGAGCGCGCGGTAGCTGTGGTCGCTGTCGTCCACGGCCACCAGCACCACCGTCTTCTTCCTACTGCCATCCTCCGCCGCAGGCGCAGTCTTGGTTTCCGCCATCGCAAGGAAACTATTGCTTTTGGTTGGCAGGTTTGCTGTGTGTGATCTGATGAGCAGCGCCATCGAGGGGCGTACATATAGGGCCACGGCCAAAAACCGGAATGGATGGATCATGGACAGTGGATACTGGTGGCGGCAGCCGGCAGGGTGCCCCGGTTTTCGCTTCGTTTGGCTGTTGGTTTTAGCTCCAGCTTTGCAACTTCCGTCCTGCGGCTGCTGGATAGCGACCCGCTAATAGTACAGCCACTCAGCCAACCAGTGCGTGCTGACTGCGACCGTTAGTTTTTCAGTTTCTGCTCCCGGAACCTGTGATTAGCCATAGTAGGCGTAGTAAGATACTTACTGGTCAACACACACACGCTTTACTTTTAAGTTGTACACGGAAGAAGATTACATAGTCTCGTATAGCGCGGAAGTGCTATTTTGATCCCGAGCTCACATGCCCCCGCCTCTTTTTTCAGCAACACCGCTTCCGATTATTGCAGTGGTCGGTAATAAGTAATAACACGGTCGCAGAAACGAAGTTTACAAGCAGCAGCATACATTGTCCATAATGTAAGACGTTTTTTGGCACTACATTTGCGTGCATTGTCCTCGAGTCCTCATGTACTTGGGTGCATCGACCTCGAGTTCTCATGTCTCTTGGCAACACAGCATCTTGGGTCACAAGTCACAACACCCAATAGGTGTGTGTGCGGCACCTTTTTGAAAAGAGAAAAAAAAAACAGTTTTGCAGTGGAAAAGCCATGCAGCATTTCGAAAGGACTTCCTTTTCGGGCTCGCGCGGAATTTAAATGGATCCATATATTGATATTCATACAACACTAAAACAACAGCTATGGTATCGCTTCTCAGTGTTAATAGCTGCGTACCTTTCTCGTCAGATGTTTGTCTTGTTAAAAGTTGTTTCAGCTATGCATGCAAAAAATGTTGCTATGCATGGGTTAACATGCATTAGCACGGCAAACATGCAGGCGTACATGTCAAACATAAAAACCTCAGGAACTACTAGTCCCACAAAATTTCTACAGAATTCATGTGATTTTTAAAAAAACGGAGGCATAAGCTGCTGGCCTTACAAGGACACCATTAAGGTCAGGCAAAAACTCGCAAAGGTAACGCAGCTTCAAGTTGTCTCTGCCAAGATTGACATAAGTAGCGGTCAACATATATGGGAAATATGGACATGGCAATTGCGTCCAGGATTCACGTATAAGAAGCACATTTCATAAAGGCATCACACCGTCTCCCATAAAAACTTGGTAAATAATCAGGCCAGTCCAAAACAAGCAAACTTGGTCAACATATACAGGGTCTTAATGACTGAAAGCATTTCATAGACATATCAAGACTAAATCAAAGCAAAAGCAAAAACTGCAGAGGGAACAAGAAAAGTTATTAGAGAGCTATACCAAAGCTGTAGCCCTATGGTTTAGCTGTGATAACTGGAGGTCCAACACTTCTAAAAGACTCCATATAATTGTCGGTAACAACTGTCAGCCTCCACCCTGGAGTCACGCTTCCACTCTTGGTTTGCCAATGCGCGAGAAAAATGGAACATAGGGAAGATATGGAGGAAATGTGTCATACAAGTGATATTTTAGACTGCAGATAACACAAACTTTACCACGGTCCATGTCATATGACAGTAGCACATCCTTGCACCTCCAAACAAAGAATATCAAATTGCATTCAGGATGGATTGCGATCAAAGCATAGTCCCTCTGGAACAAGAGATCAGCATAGTCCCGTTGTAACATGTGATTTTTCTCCCCAAAAAGCTCCCCAAAAAGTTGTGAAGTGCTGATGTTGTACTTAAAGATCCATTCATTACCATTATAGTCCTCAAGAATCCAGACTGATAATTTGGAGCTATCGTTGTCTCTCATATTTATAAAATACAATCGCCCTTGAGATTGACCAATAAAAGCCAGAGGACCTAAACAAATGTTTCCAACACACATGGTTTCAAGCAAAGAAATGGTCCTCCATGTCTTGCCTTCCGTGTCAACTGCTAGTATCTTAAACTCACATGTGAGCAAGTGCATCATTCCATTGAAAAAGACACCTCTCATGTCAACTATCTGAATCTCATTGTCGCCCCAACCATTTTCCTTGTAACTCCAGGCTCCTGTCTCTGATGAGTAGATATTAACACCTGAGATATATCCATAGTCCTCATCACCCTCTAGGATCTGGAACACATGGAAGTGGGGTGACATGGCTCCATCGAAACCCAAACGGTACGCCAATGCATCGCTTTTATGGCCAGCATCAGGCAGGATTACCCATTCCTCAGTGGCAGGATTACATACCACATAATCAGCTTCGTCTATTGGGGAGTCCTTCCAGCAGAGGCAGAAAATAAGGCCATTGCAGCAGTCCTTTGGCAAAATCTGCCTGTATCCCGTCAAGAAGGACAACGAGGAATCAGGGAATAGCTGCTCTTGGTCCCTTGATATACCATCAAAAGTGGGAAATGCTATCAAACCATCCTCATAGTTGAGTCTGTGCTTGGGGTAGAAGAAGCCGGAGATGGTCTGGGGCAGCTTTTTGCGGTGTTGGGAGATGAGGAGGTACCAGAGCCGGGAGACACACTTGAATCGGCACACTGACTTGACGGGCAGCAGGGACAGAATCTCGATGATAAGGTCATCTGTCAGGTCAGCAGCGGAGGTTGTCCCGTTCTTGGAGCAGTTCATCTGTGTGCAAGCCATTCTGACAAGTAGAGACGGAACACTAAAATAGTCATATCAAATATCAGTGCATGACAGAATGAAAGGAAGAGCACGGAGGAAGAACAGGCATACCAGTCTACTGAAGCAGGGAGCGGCAACGATGGAAGTGGCTATCAATGGCGGTTCTGCGGCTGACGGCTGGGAACAATAGTTACAGTGGCTCAGATAGTTGAATAAAATGCCAAACAACAAAGAATAAATCAAAATAGTACAAGCTATTGACAGCGACGTGTAACAAGTTGTACTATTTGAAACTTACTGGTTAGAAACAATGCCTGGGAACAAAACATCAAGACTTAAATACACTTTGTGAAAGTAAAATGTAAAGGCAGTCTTTCGTTTTCACCGGTTCCTTTGTTCTCACCAACGGTCGCCTGGAGGATGGAGCGCCAGGCACGGTGGCTGCAAGTCGGACGCGTGAGCCTGACGGACGTGCCTGAGTGAGGTGCAACCAAACACGGATAGTTGAGGCTCAAGCAAATCGCTCCAGCACAGCAACCAAACTAGCCCAACATGCATTAACATTGTGACATCTTTGTTCTACAACTGCTCCATTAAGTACAAGTTCAAAAACGAAGTCCAGCCAACTACTATAACTATTAATATGGATCGGAGGGAGTACTGAAATTTCTTTCGGATAGGTGTATATGGTGTTAGAATTTTACAGGCTCCTTTTACACCTTATTATGTTTTGGTTTTTGACGAGAATCCTTTCAGAATTTTTATTGAGTCACTTGACTTGCATTTCTGTGACTGTGAGTATACATCTGTAACTTCCACACAGAACCTAAGGCTGGAGGAGTATGAGCTACGAAGAAATGAGACCACCCATAGCATAGCAGTTAACCTAAATAGGTTTGATGTCGTACCTAGTACTCCCTCTGTAAACTAATATAAGAACGTTTAGATAACTAATGTAGTAATCTAAACGCTCTTATATTAATTTACGGAGGGAGTAAGTCAGACGCCGCTGCTCTTTTCCTGTCCTGCCGGCGAGCTTCCAGACCGCCGCCGCTTCGTCCCGGTTCGTCGCCGCTGCCCGCCACATTCGGGATCGACTACAGGATCTCAAGCCATGCTTCCGCATAGTCGATCCATGGTCCGATTTAGGGATCAGGTCCCAAGATCTGAGAGTTGGCTGGAGGATTTGGGGATTAGGGTTCTTGTTCGGCCTGTGTGAAGCGGAGAAGGCCGTTTGTGCGGAGAAGAGAGAAGACGCTCTACGGGCTGCCGAAATTAGACCAGCCCACATAAAACTCCGACTGGACCTGCCATTCCACTCTAGCCACTGTAGAGACCCGGACCGATTTTCCAAGCATTTTTTATTCGGTTTTGAACAAAGCACAAAACAATGTATGTTCCAAATGGGAAAATTTGAAATCATGAAATTTAATTAAATAATGGAAATATTATAAAAAACAAACATTAAAAAAACAAAATTTGAGGACATGACATTTTTTGTTGAAAATTTCAAAAACGCGGACAATTTTTAGGCATAGTTGTGAAGCACATATGCACTTTTCACATGGTGTGCTTGACGCGAGGGGAAATACAGAACACAAAAAGATGGATCTTTTTTGTCAAGAAAACCTATGAAATAACAAACAAAATCCGAAAAACCAAAAAAATGCATGGAGACAAAAAAAAATTGTGCTCCCATGAATGCGCCCAAAGCGCGACACGTGGCGGCGGTTGGTCGCACCACATGGTTCGCCCATGTGCGCTCGTTGTGAGCTCCTCCCGGGGGTACCGCTGGTTAGTTGACCCCATTCTTAGGAGTTCTTATTAACCATCCGCAAGCTTGGCTAAGAGCAAGAGTAGGTCGGCGGCACAGTTTGCCCGTGAGCGATTTTTTAAAAATTATCTTCAGTCTTTTAGGTTGTCGGTTTGCCCGTGAGCGATTTTAAAAAAATTATCTTCAGTCTTTTAGGTTGTTTCTCAACCCCCCAAAAAATGGCTGTTGTTTTTTAGGAGCTACATATTTGAAAACCTATTTATTTTAATAATATTCTTTACAAAGTTGTTCAGTATGTTTTTTATAGAAAAGATTGTTCTATATTAAAAGAAGTTCATCGTATACTAAAAAAAATCAGTAGGAAGAAATGAATATGACATGTAGGCCCACATAGTAAGTGAGAGAAGTGAGTAATCCCGGTTTAATTTCGACCACACATACAATTTTTTTTAGGGGTAAACCATACATACAACTTCAAGCTTTAAAATAGACTTTACTCAACCCACTTCATTTCATGTGACCTTTAAAAACGGAGGCATACACGCTCCTGGCCTTACAAAGACACCATTAAGGTCAGGCAAAAACTCGCAGGTAACACACCTTCAAGTTGTCCCTACCAAGATCGGTATAAGTAGCGGTCAATGTATATGGAAAATATGGACATGGCAATTGCGTCCAGGATTCACGTATAAGAAGCACATTTCATAAAGGCATCAAACTGTCTCCCACTCTTCCATAAGCCACGAGTCGCATTGTGGCCTCCAGGGGTTGCGGATAAATTGTAGAGAGATCTATTAATGCATATACTTTAACTCCGCCTATGTTGTCTCAACATAGCCGGTCCCAAGCCCGGGTAAAGGAGGAGGGTTGTGATAGGCTTGGCGAGCCAACGTAAAAACTCAGCCACTCTTATGGAGATGAAACCCAAAAGATTTTCGTTGGGGCGTAACCCTCTCAGCGACGCGCCACATCGGAACCCGGGTGTGGTGAAAAATGGGCAAGGGCCGGGCCGTCACCCTCCAAGTGGCGCCCCGTATCTTGATCCGGATACGGTGGCAAGTGAGCGAGGATCGGGTCGTCGCATCCTTAGTGGCGCGCTACATCGGCGCCCGGATGTAGTGGAAAATAAGCAAGGGTCTTCGCATTTGACTCGACGAGTGCGAAGGGTAAGGAAGCTAGCCGAGCCTAGGAGGATTCGCTTAGGTAGCTGGAACGTAGGGTCTCTGACAGGGAAGCTTCGGGAGCTAGTTGATGCAGCAGTGAGGAGAGGTGTTGATATCCTTTGCGTCCAAGAAATCAAATGGAGAGGACAGAAGGCGAAGGAGGTGGAGGATACCGGCTTCAAGCTGTGGTACACGGGGACGGCTGCAAACAGAAATGGCGTAGACATCTTGATCAACAAGAGCCTCAAGTATGGAGTGGTAGACGTCAGGAGACGTGGGGACCGGATTATCCTGGTCAAGCTGGTAGCTGAGGACTTGGTTCTCAATGTTATCAGCGCATATGCCCCGCAAGTAGGCCACAATGAGAACACCAAGAGGGAGTTCTGGGAAGGCTTGGAAGACATGGTTAGGAGTGTACCGATTGGTGAGAAGCTCTTCATAGGAGGAGACCTCAATGGCCACGTGGGTACATCTAACACAGGTTTTGAAGGGGCGCATGGGGGCTTTGGCTATGGCATCAGGAATCAAGAAGGAGAAGATGTCTTAAGCTTTGCTCTAGCCTACAACATGATTGTAGCTAACACCCTCTTTAGAAAGAGAGAATCACATCTGGTGACTTTTAGTAGTGGCCAACACTCTAGCCAGATTGATTTCATCCTCTCGAGAAGAGAAGATAGGCGTGCGTGCCTAGACTGTAAGGTGATACCTGGGGAGAGTGTTGTACCCCAGCATAAGCTGGTGGTTGCTGACTTCCGCTTTCGGATTCGTGTCCAGCGGGATAAGCGTGCCAAGGTCGCTAGAACGAAGTGGTGGAAGCTCAAGGGGGAGGTAGCTCAGGTGTTCAAGAAGAGGGTATTTAAGGAGGGCCCTTGGGAGGAAGGAGGGGATGCGGACAATGTGTGGATGAAGATGGCGACTTGCATTCGTAAGGTGGCCTCGGAGGAGTTTGGAGTGTCCAGGGGAAGGAGAAGCGAAGATAACGATACCTGGTGGTGGAATGATGATGTCCAGAAGGCGCTTAAAGAGAAGAAAGATTGCTTCAGACGCCTATACCTGGATAGGAGTGCAGACAACATAGAGAAGTACAAGATGGCGAAGAAGGCCGCAAAGCGAGCTGTTGGTGAAGCAAGGGGTCGGGCATATGAGGACCTCTACCAACGGTTAGGCACGAAGGAAGGTGAAAGGGACATCTATAAGATGGCTAAGATCCGGGAGAGGAAGACGAGGGATATTGGCCAAGTCAAATGCATCAAGGACGGAGCAGGCCAACTCTTGGTGAAGGACGAAGAGATTAAGCATAGATGGCGGGAGTACTTCGACAAGCTGTTCAATGGGGAGAATGAGAGTTCTACCATTGAACTGAATGACTCCTTTGATGAGACCAGCATGCGTTTTGTGCGGCGCATCCAGGAGTCTGAGGTGAAGGAGGCTTTAAAAAGGATGAAAGAAGGCAAGGCGATGGGCCCTGATTGTATCCCCATTGAGGTGTGGAAAGGTCTCGGGGACATAGCGATAGTATGGCTAACCAAGCTTTTCAACCTCATTTTTCGGGCAAACAAGATGCCAGAAGAATGGAGACGGAGTATATTAGTACCAATCTTCAAGAACAAGGGGGATGTTCAGAGTTGTACTAATTACCGTGGAATTAAGCTGATGAGCCATACAATGAAGCTATGGGAGAGAGTCATTGAGCACCGCTTAAGAAGAATGACAAGCGTGACCAAAAATCAGTTTGGTTTCATGCCTGGGAGGTCGACCATGGAAGCCATTTTCTTGGTACCACAACTTATGGAGAGATATAGGGAGCATAAGAAGGACTTGCATATGGTGTTCATTGACTTGGAGAAGGCCTATGATAAGATACCGCGGAATGTCATGTGGTGGGCCTTGGAGAAACACAAAGTCCCAGCAAAGTACATTACCCTCATCAAGGACATGTACAATGATGTTGTGGCAAGTGTTCGAACAAGTGATGTCGACACCGATGACTTCCCGATTAAGATAGGACTGCATCAGGGGTCAGCTTTGAGCCCTTATCTTTTTGCATTGGTGATGGATAAGGTCACAAGGGGTATACAAGGAGATATCCCATGGTGTATGCTCTTTGCGGATGATGTGGTGCTAGTTGACGATAGTCGGACGGGGGTAAATAGGAAGTTAGAGTTATGGAGACAAACCTTGGAATCGAAAGGGTTTAGGCTTAGTAGAACTAAAACCGAGTACATGATGTGCGGTTTCAGTACTACTAGCTGTGAGGAGGAGGAGGTTAGCCTTGATGGCCAGGTGGTACCTCGGAAGGACACCTTTCGGTATTTGGGGTCAATGTTGCAGGAGGATGGGGGTATTGAGGAAGATGTGAACCATCGAATCAAAGCCGGATGGATGAAGTGGCGCCAAGCTTCTGGCATTCTCTGTGACAAGAGAGTGCCACAAAAACTAGAAGGCAAGTTCTACAGGACGGCGGTTCGACCCGCAATGTTGTATGGCGCGGAGTGTTGGCCGACTAAAAGGCGACATGTTCAACAGTTAGGTGTGGCGGAGATGCGTATGTTGAGATGGATGTGTGGCCACACGAGGAAGGATCGAGTCCGGAATGATGATATACGAGATAGAGTTGGGGTAGCACCAATTGAGGAGAAGCTTGTCCAACATCGTTTGAGATGGTTTGGGCATATTCAGCGCAGGCCTCTAGAAGCTCCAGTACATAGCGGACGGCTAAAGCGTGCGGAGAATGTCAAGAGAGGGTGGGGTCGACCGATTTTGACATGGGAGGAGTCCGTTAAGAGAGACCTGAAGGATTGGAGTATCGACAAAGAGCTAGCTATGGACAGGGGTGCGTGGAAGCTTGCTATCCATGTGCCAGAGCCATGAGTTGGTTGCGAGATCTTATGGGTTTCACCTCTAGCCTACCCCAACTTGTTTGGGACTAAAGGCTTTGTTGTTGTTGTTGTATCTATTAATGCATATACTTTAACTCAACGCATACTGTGCTTGAGCGTTCATTTTTTCCATTGTAAGTTGCCTTATCTTTATTAGCATGAGAAAGCAATGATTCATTCTTTCCATTATTCCTTAAGTATACAATTAACTCAAGGTTTTTCAATGGATATGATAAGCTGGAGAAGAAGAAATGAGCAGGCAAGAAGCCAATGACTACCACATATAATCAGGTCAGTACAAAACAAGCAGACTTGGTAAATAATCAAAGCAAAAGCAGACTTGGTAAATAATCTCAGTCAAGTCAAATTACAGGGTCTTAACGGCTGAAATCATTTCATAGATACATCAGGACTAAATCAAAGCAAAAGCAAAAACTGCAGAGGGAAAAAAAGAGGAGTCATTGGAGAGCTATACCAAAGCTGTAGCCCCATGGTTTAGTTGTGATAACTGAAGGTCCAACACTTGTAAAAGATTCCATATAATTGTCGGTAACAACTGTCAGCCTCTACCCTGGGGTCAGGCTTCCACTCTTGGTCTGCCAATGCGTGAGAAAGATGGAACATAGGGAAGATATGGAGGAAATGTATGATACGAGTGCTCTTTTAGACTGCAGATAACACGAGCTTTACCACGGTCCATGTCATATGACAGTAACACATCCTCGCACCTCCAAACAAAGAATATCAAATTGCATTCAGGATGGATTGCGATGAAAGCATAGTCCCTTTGCAACAAGAGATCAGCATAGTCCCGTTGTAACGTGACATCCTTCTCCCCAAAAGCTCCCCGAAAAGTTGTGAAGTGCTGATGTTGTACTTAAAGATCCATTCATTACCATTATAGTCCTCAAGAATCCAGACTGATAATTTGGAGCTATCATTGTCTCTCATATTTATATAATACAGTCGCCCTTGAGATTGACCAATAAAAGCAAGGTCACCTAAATAAATGTTTTCATCACACATAGTTTCCAGCAAAGAAATGGTCCTCCATGTCTTACCCTCAGTGTCAACTGCTAGTATCTTAAACTCACGTGTGAGCAAGTGCATCATTCCATTGAAAAAGACCTCTCATCTCAACTATCTGAATCTCATTGTCGCCCCAACCATTTTCCTTGTAACTCCAGGCTCCTGTCTCTGATGAGTAGATATTAACACCTGAGATATATCCATAGTCCTCATCATCCTCTAGGATCTGGAACACATGGAAGTGGAGTGACATGGCTCCATCGAAACCCAAACGGTAGGCTATTGCATCACTTTTATGGCCAGCATCAGGCAGGACTACCCATTCCTCAGTGGCAGGATTGCATACCACATAATCGGCTTCGTCTATTGGGGAGTCCTTCCAGCAGAGGCAGAAAATAAGGCCATTGCAGCAGTCCTTTGGGAAAATCTGCCTGTATGCGGTCAAGAAGGGCAACGAGGAATCAGGGAATAGCTGCTCTTGATCCCTTGAAATACCATCAAAAGTGGGAAATGTTATCACATCATACTCATCATTGAGTCTGTGCTTGGGGTAGAAGAAGCCGGAGATGGTCTGGGGAAGCCTTTTGCGGTGTTCAGGGTGGGAGATGAGGCTGTACCAGAGCCGGGAGACACACTTGAATCGGCACACTGACTTGACTGGCAGCAGGGACAGAATCTCGATGATAAGGTCATCTGTAAGGTCAGCAACAGAGGTTGCCCCGTTCTTGGAGCGGTTCATCTGTGTGCAAGCCAATCTGACAAGTTGAGAAGGAAAACGAAAATAACCAGATCAAACATCAGTGCAGGACAGAATGAAAGGATGGAAGAAAGAGCACGGAGGCAGAACAGGCATACCAGTCTACTGAAGCACGGAGCGGCAACAATGGAAGTGGCTATCAACGGCGGTTCTGCGGCTGACGGCTGGGAACAAAAGTTACAGTGGCTCAGATAGTTGAATTAATTGCCAAACAACAAAGAATAAATCAAAATAGTACAAGCTATTGATAGCGGCGTGTAACAAGTTTGCTAATACTATTTGAAACTTACTGGTTGCAAACAACGCCTGAGGACAAAACGTCAAGACTTAAATACACTTTGTGAAAGCTAAATGTAAAGGTAGTCTTTTGTTTTCATCGGTTCCTTCATTCTCACCAACGACCGCCTCGAGGATGGAGTGCCAGGCACGGTGGGCTGCAAGTCGGACGCCTGAGTCTGACGGACGTGCCTGAGTGAAGCTACGTCTCTTTGATCAGTTATCTTTCCAGAATAAATACTAGCTAGGGTTTTCAATTTTGCTCCCAGTGTATCCATAAATGAGACATTTGTTCAAGGAGGAACCCTTCCGGGAATGTAATTACGAATAAATGGTTTATTTCCAAATTAGCGCCATCTCAGTGTGGCAACCAAACACGAAACGTAGAGTCTCAAGCAAATCGCTCCAGTGCAGCAACCAAGCTAGCCCAACATGGTTAACAATGTGACATCTTTGTTCTACAACCACTCCATTAAGTACAAGTTCAAAAACGTAGTCTAGCCGACTAACTATTAACATGGATACACGGTGTTAGAATTTTACAGGCTCCTTTTACAACTTTTTTGTTTTTGTTTTTGAGAATCCTTTCAGAATTTTTATTGAGGCACTTGACTTGCATTTCTGTGACTGTGACTATACATCTGTTACTTCGACGCAGAACCTAACGCTGGAGGAGTATTAGCTGCAAAGAAATGAGACCGCCCATAGCAGTTAACCTAAATAGTACTTCCTCCATTCCTAAATATAAAGTCTTCTAGAGTTTTTAATATGGACCACATAAGGATGTATATAGACATAGTTTAGAGGGTAGATTCACTCATTTTGCTCCGTATGTAGTCTATATTGAAATCTGTAGAAACACTTGTATTTAGGAACGGAGGGAGTAGTTTTGATGTCGTACCTATTAAGTCAGACGCCGCTGCTCAACCTCCGCTTGTCCTGTCCTGCCGGCGAGCTTCCAGACCGCCGCCGCTGCCCGCCACATCCGGGATCGGCAGGAGCTCAATCCATGCTGCCGCATAGTCAATCCATGGTCCGATTTAGGGATCGGGTCTCAAGATTTGAGAGAGGGCTGGAGGATTTGGGGATTAGGGTTCTTGTTCGTCCTGTCTCCTGTGTGTATGAGGCCGTTTGTGATTTTGTGGGGAGTGCGTCACGCAAGGAGAAGACGCTCTACGGGCTTCGGCCCAAATTAGACCGGCCCGCAGAAAACTCGGCCCTAAAATCTTGTGACTGACATAATAAAGCTTTAGCGGTTTCTCAAAAAAAAAAAAGCTTTAGCGAGATTGTCAAAAAGAAACTGTAGTAATTGTTGTGAAATCATTGGTCAAGGATACTCTTTGCAAATGTCATCCTCACATCTTTTTGTGATGACAAATGGTGTACTGTATGTACGACACTTGTCACAGCCTAGGTTTTTTTTTGTATATTCATTCTTCCTAAACTTTTTATCTATTAAATCTTGCGCCCAAACCATGAACCATTATTATCCTTGCGTTTCTTGCATTGACATCTTCAAAATTAGATCTCATGTTAATAGATTCGGACAAACCTTTTTCTGAAAAAAGCAGAAAACAAAAAAATCAGAAACTAATTCTTTTGGAAAAATGGAAATAAAAATAAAAATCAGAAAAAACACATAGTGTGCTTCACGCGAGGAAAACACACAAAAAAAGTATGGATCTTTTTTGTCGAGAAAATTTATGAAATAACAAACAAAATCTTAAAAAAACGCATGGAGACAAAAAATTGTGCTCCCACAGATGTGCCCAAAGCATGACATGTGACGGCGGTTGGCCATATCACGCGGTTCACCCATGCGTACCCGCTGTGAACTCCTCCCGGGGATACCGTTGGTTAGTTGACCCCATTCTTAAGAGCTCTTATTTACCACCCGCAAGCTTGGCTGATAGCAAGAGCAGGTTGGTGGCACAATTTGCCCGTGAGCGATATAAAAAAAATCTTCAGTCTTTTAGGTTGTTTCTCACCCCCCCCCCCTCCCAAATAGTTGTTATTTTTTAAAATTAAAATGGTTGT